GAGAGAGAGAGAGAGAGAATGTAAAGGGGTGATAGGTGTGGGGTCCAGGATCGCTGAATTCGTCTGGGGGACCCTTGTAGTATCTTATAGTGACAAGGGTCTGCCGGACTCATTTTTTGGGGAAGCCGGGCTTCCCAAACAACACACCAATTACAAGGCCTTTGGACGAGGCCCGGCTATCTGGAAGGGCCTGAGGCCAAGCGTCGAGGGTTTCTTGCTGAATCGCGGCCAGGCCTTCAATTCTGTGGGGCTGCCGTTTGGAAAAGACTGGGGGGTCCCAACAATGCTAAGTTCCGGACCGGCCAGGCGATCTTTGCACTACTCCTACTGCTTCGTCCGCCAAGCCCGGGCACAGTGTAGGCTGCTCTTTCGCCGGCCGGGCCCGTCACCGGAAAAGAAACTATCGAGTCGCCTGTTTTGTTTGGGAATGCGGAGAGGGGGGGAGGCTACACTAACCAGACCCCAACGCTATCTCTGTTGTATGTTTTTGTCTATACATATACAAAAGCGTCGAACTACAGGCCCGAGTTTTGANNGGCATCGTCTCCCGCCCCTTCCCATGCAACAATCTCATGCTGCTCTATACGAATACAGTCTGTGGTTATATGCGCTATGTGTATATAGATGATATATATATATATATATACAGAAAGCGTCGCACTACAGGCCCGAGTTTTGAAGCTTTCTGCGTTCACACTGTAGGCCAGGATTTTGCAAGAGTCTTACATCTATTGCCCTCGTCTACATGCATACAACACAATTTAGAAACACTCAAACAAACCATACTGCATAGTTTGAAATCGCTAGTGCAAAGAAAGATTGGATTGCAGAGCTGAAAGCTCCCGCGGAAATACAACGCGCAGACAGTGCCTACGGCTTTAGATAACGTAAACTGTGATGTTAAAAGCCGTGCAAGGATACACGTCAATTGGTGACATGTAAAATATGAAATGTTGGTCAACCACATGCCGGATTCGAAAGAGAACTGGTGGGTGGCAAACCCGAATATCCTGACTGGTAACTTGAAAACAGGAACCTAAAGCTCTACTGCATAAATGCGTTTACCAAGTACCATGCCTTCTAAGAACTTAGAAAAGCTTATTGAGGATCATGTCATCGTGTTTGAGATGTATAACTAGAGAGAAGCCGATATTCCAGATAATCGTGAACATGTATCAAAAATCGCATATTTCACTGGGACAACACGGGACTGTATTTCGACATTCACTCCAGACCTCTCTATCTCTACCTATCTATCTATCTATCTGTCTATCTCTGTCTGGCTGTCTATATGTCTATCTGTCCGTCTATAAATCCCTGGACGGCTTAAGACACCAGGGGATGCCGGTGCAGACTGTCGGGTCAGGCGTGGGGCAAATGGTGCTGGGGCTGGGTGGTGGAATGGGGGGCATTGCTGATTCAGCGGCAGGACTCCCACCCATCACGAGAAAAGCATGATTTTGCACTATCAGGACCTGTCTGGAACGGGCAGAAACCTGCCGCAACCTGTGAGGAACCTGTTGGGACTTGTAGGGCGTCCACCAGGCTGGTGTCAGAGGTGCCAAAATGGGCACCTGAACCCGGCCTGTTCGCAACACTTTTGGTGCAAGCGCAGGGCTCTCCATGGATTACATGTTATCACGACAAAACAGCCCTGATCAAGCCCCGGTTCTTGCACCAACAATGCTCGAACCCAGCCCTGCTTATGCACCTACAACTTGACTTAACTCAAACCCTCCTTACTCTTACCCGTGTCCAACTAACACCTCTAGATCTGACCCCAGATGGCCATGGCAACATGCGTGTATGTCTGTATGCGTATATATATATACATACATACACATGTATATACACATATATACAATAGTCAGTCTTTTCTCTACTGTTACTTACTAGATATTATCCCAGCAAGCCCTGTTCTCAGCCCGAGCCCCGGCAAACCCGTGGCATTGTCATGACGAACATCGGAGCGAGGCGGGGGAAATCGCTTCATCGATCATCATAACCGCTAGTCGTAAAGGAAAAAACAGGGTCTTTCTGACCCGATGTGTCGGGAGAGGTCTACGCCTACGCATCTATCCGGCGTTCAATATAGTATGCAGTGAAGTGCCGTTTGAAGACACTTTTCAGAGCAAGCTTTCTCAGATAGTCAGCCGAGAATGCATAAAACACCAACGAGGTGACGGAGATTTGCATACACATCGGCATTAACGAAAAGCACACATCCGGAAGTAAAACCCAGAGCACCAATCACAGGAAGCGCCTGATCGGTGAGGGACTTGACTCCGCTAGGCCCGGCGACAACGGTTCTCCGTTCTGCCTCCTCTTCCTGGCCACAGGTCAGGCATGGTCACGTCTGGTTGATCTGTTTCGACCTGGTAATTTAGCGTACTTTTGCAAGACGAATTGCAGTTGGGAAGCGATGTTCCAACGAGACTATGAGGCGGCGTTTGGGGAGAAGCTGTAGACTCAGACGCTATGGGCAACACGCGCACAGACACTCCAGCCTTTTCCATCGCACCGCAAGAGTGCTGGTGATCCTGAGTGGCCTTGAGCCACGAAGACCGCAGAGCCGCTGAGCATCCACTGGATAGCAAGACGCGTGGGCAAACTGTCAGACAAGTCCTAAAGGCATGCTGTTACAGTACCCCCCCAACTGAGGTTGCCCACAACGTATATTGCTGATCCTGATACTCCTTCACAAGACGAGCTACCGAAGCAGAGCGGCTGCGACGCTTGTTCTCGTCCACTAGTGAAAGGTAGCCGGCTTTCAGGAAAGCTTCCATTGCCCCGTAGGCCTTGCTTGGGTCCACCTTGGAGAGCGAGTCTACGACCATTTTCTGGTGAGGGGCCCAACTCACCATGGATTTCGTCTGTTCCAGGTCGCGGACTATAATCGCAAGCACAAGGGAAGCCTTCCTGTCCTGTCGGCCTTGTGGATGTTCTTTAAGAATGCAGTCAAACGAGTCAAACAAGCTTAACAAGCTTTTCGCATCGTTGACTGAGCACTGCCGTTGACGCTCGCCCAGTTCGCAGGAACCTCTCATGATGACCATGTGGGGAGAAGGAGAGTTCCGCCAATCCTTTCTCTGAACGTCGTGCTTGTAGGCGTCACGGTACATGATATGCAACCAGTCGGTCTCATTGATGCCTTGAAGCATGGCCTACGTCTCCCCTCCGAAAGTTGAGAACACCTTGCGCTTCAACTTCGAGCTGCGCCAAGCCAGAGGACTGGCCTTCACCCGCTCGGCGCCGACCGGGAGGGTCTCAGAGGCTAGGACAATCCACGCGCCTTGTGTGGCGTCCGCGGGAAGACCTTCGGCATCCACCTCCTCTTCCTTGGTATTGATCCCTCCGGCGTCCGAGATGGCCAGGAATGACATCTGATCGGGGTCGAAGCGCCAGATCTTGATGGGGGCGGCTGTGCGTGTTCCTCAGGCGGTGGTTGATGGACTTATTCACGGTAAGGATGTCGGTCATGGAAGCGTGAGGAAGTCGGCTGGCCATGATTGATGCCAGACCACAAAGTTCGGGCCGCGTCTCCTTGGCTACCCAGTTCAGCCGGTAGATTGTATTGCTGAACGTAGCGCCGTGAATTCCTCGTTGGAAAGAGGACCACCATCCTTTCGGCGTCCCTTGGCGAGTGGTATCGGGTGGATCTGCTCCAAGATGTATTTGCTTTGGTCGACGGAGATATGGTCCGCATGGCAGATCACCCGTCGGCCTGCATACTCCGCAGCGTCCTCGCCCCATTTGCCAGAGACGAACCGGTCGCACAGCTGCTTCTTCACGGTGTCCTTGACGCCTTCCTCTGCCGACACGATCAGATCGTCCACTTCGACGAGCACTTGAGCCACATTCCTCCCAGCCTTGTCATACTTCATGTACCAACAAGGTTCAATCAGGTTCCTCACGAATCCGATCTGATGAAGGAACCTGGTGATCGTCGCCCTCCAAGCCGCCGGGGCATCATCTAGCCCGTACACCGGCACGATAATCTCGATGAGGGCGCCAGGAGGAAGAGGAAGTCCTTCACAGGGAAGAGCATAACGTGGGCCATTTGGCCGGCGCAACCGGTCAGATTGACAGAAAGCATTCTTCACATCGCAGAAGGCAAATCGGTGCCGAGGGTTCGCCCCCACTTGAAGAAACATCATGATCGACTCCACCTGAGGCGTCGGCGCATAGGTCACCAGCGAGCCTGTATCAGGATCGGCATGCCCATGGAGACACCACCGGGACTTCGCTTTCCATTGACCAAGCTTCTCGAAGGGCTTCTGGCGGCGGACCACCGGGGGAGCTCTCCGAACACGAGCTGAACAGGAGTGTAGCCCCCCTTGACTGAACCATCGGTTCTTCGCTGCCGCTGCCGTGAGTGCCCTCGAGTCGTTGCAACACGTGATAGTTCGTGCCCGAACAGACCATGTTGGGACCGGAATGGAAGCTTGCTGAAAGCGAACATAGAAGATATCCACAGACACGACTCGATTGGGTCTGAACAGGCGAGGACATTGAGCCTTTCGCCGAGGAATCGGACCTCGACGTGACTCACAATCCTGACAGTGAAAGTGAAAACGATCTCTCACATACTTCAGCACACGCGGCAAGGCACCCGCAGCCTTCAACGTCCTGAGAAAACGATCAACAGGAGGATGCCCACAGTTGTTATGAAGTTTCTTGATCAGCGCCACCTGTGCCTCAGACACGCTGGGCTCCGCTGCAGGAGAGGCCTGGTGAAGAAGCCGAAGTGCTGGTTGTCGATGTAGTCGTGAATCTCGAGGTTCTGGATGATCATCTTCTTCTTCCGCCTCGCCTTCCTCCATGACCCCAATCTGTGCATAAGATTGCATAAAGGGGCTCTCGAGGAATCCCGGCAGAGTCGAAGAACGAGGCTTGCATCAGGCCACTGTCGCATTCACCTTGGTCTCGAACGTCAAAGCCAAGATCCCGAAGTTCCTTTCGTTGAGTCCTGTCCAGGTTCTTGGCAGACCTGGTCTGGTAGGCCACGATAGACCACCGCTCTCCCTGCCAGGGCTCGGGACCGCGAAATTTGCGAGGGGCGAGAACTTTCCGGCGGGAGAATGAAGCCTCCCAGCGACCCAATTGCCGGGAAACACCTGACGCACATCCGACCTCCTTCTTCTTCAACCCATACTTGCCCTCTGGAGTGCTCGCCCAAGGTGATCACGCAGTTCAAGCCGATGTTGTGGCAGCCCTTGTGGTAGGGTAAACGGGCCCCGGAGGTTATCGCGAAGGAGGACCCGCTCCATGACGGGTGAGGAACCCATTGATGTAGAGGGCGAACTGTCCGTTGCGCTTCGTCCTGGAGGTGATGCCGGACATGCCGCCATGAATATACTGACCTTCTGCACCAAGCTCTCCTTCCGGACTTTGGCGATCCGGTCCTGCGGTGGCTCCTAATACTAAGTGCCGGAGGCATGCTCCCAGGGAGAAGTCCCTCTGTTGTCGAAGAAGACCAGCCAAGTCCTCAGAGTCAAGGAGATGAGGACGGACTCGTTGCTCGGCCTCGAGAGCCACAGGGTAGCTTTCCAGGTCTCTTTCCATTGCTCCTGGGATATTGTCGCCATTCGTCTCCTCCATCCAATAACTGTCAGTGGCAACCCGAAACCAGAAATCACCGTTCTCACACACAGTGTAGACCCGCAAGCTCTTGTCTCGAAGTGCAAGGTCCTCCCAGGCCTTGCTTCTCCACACCTGAGAGTCCACGCCTGCCTTCACGCTGAAGGTGCCGCCCGCCTCGACCTGGGTGCCGATAGCCTCAAAGATGACCTTTGCACGCACCGCCTCCTCTCTCCGGACTCACTGGAAGGTTCCTGCACCCCCATGGAGAGGAACGTCGGCCGGCACCTGGCATGGAACTCCCGGAATCGCTGAACCGCTCATGTCCGTAGGGAACGCGTAGTAGTCCTTCACGACAACCGTTTTCTAAAGCGGGGGTGGACACGATGAGGTCCGCGAAGTCGTACATCGCCCGATGTGCCTGTCGCTTGTCTTGACGAAGGTGTGACAGAGAGACCAGGCGAGGTCCTTGGTTTCGTCACCCTGCACCTTTGTTTCTGGGAGGTCAGCTCCAGCGTCGGTGACCCAATCGTCGAGAGTAGGAGCTGAGGAGCTGGTCCAGAGAAACTTGGCTCGCCGCGTCCAGAGAGCCCAAGCACATTCTTCCGTGGATCTCGATGAGCTTCAAGAGGCTGAAGATGCCGAGGAAGGGCCCATGCACGATGTTGGTGACCAGAAGGATGTTCTCCTCGAGGCTCAGTCGGCCGCCCGGGACCCCGTAGTAGAACTCGTCGATCCAGCATCGTCTTGAACTTCATGCCAGACAAGAACCATGTTCCTGGGGAGCGGCTCGCTCGCAAACTCTTCCACCCCAGGCACTTGAAGATGTCCTGATAGCTCTTTAGTCCGCGCGGACGTCCAGAGCTCGTCCTTGGCCACCGGGTAGTGAACGAGCCAGCTTCCAGGACCACCAGTCTCCTTCCCGAGGTCTGAGAGGTGCGCCCAAGAAGCCAGGGTTGCAGGACCTCACGACGGCGGCCGAGAACATGGTGCGAGAGCGCATGGACGTAGACGAGGAGTTGATCGAGGATGGGAGTCCCGGCGGGTGGTCATCGGCGAGCCTCCTCAATCCCAACTCCGATCAGCTTGTGGACTACCAGGATTACTGTGGCCCCATTGGATGACGCTATCAGCTTTGTCTCTGGCCTTCAAGTCCATCTCGCTCGCGGGGATCGCCTGGGCGTGGGTCATCATCTGCAACATTAGGCTTTGTCCCTGGGCGATGTCGCGCATGGCCGAGCTCATCTGCTGGATGCCCACGGACATCGCCTGAATCGCCGTGGAGAGGCCGAGAAGTGCCGGATTCACTGCTGCGTCCTCGTGAGAGCTCCTCGCCGGCGGGGTGTTCCGGGATGTAGTAGCAGGACTCGTCCTCTCCTCCATGGGGTAACCCTCGCTCACACTTGCTCGTCCACGGGCTTTGGCTTTTGCCTTGGAGGTTGCACCCTTCCTCGAGGAGTAGGAGAGACGGGCTCCGCGTGCTCGGCACACCGTTTAAGAGGCAAATTGGTTGTCCCGGTTCACCGACGTCTGGTGCAAGCATGCTCCGGGGACCTGTCGGGAGCTCTCCAGGAAGGAGCGACGATCGCTCTTGATGCTCAGTTGGCCACGTTCCGCCAGGATCAATCGGCAAAACATCATTCGAGACATCTCCATGAGCAAGAAGATCCGGCTGGTGAACGCCTTCCACCTCGTCTCTGCCCTGGACATCGGGGGCCTGGACGCGCGATCCATGGTTCAAACGAGGATCAGAATCGAATTGGGGCTGTGGCTTCTCCGGATGGTTGCCCATGATGAGTGTTCCTAAGCCAAGATGCTGCTCATGAACACGAGAAGTTTCAGCATGAAGTTCCGGGTCTTCAGGGAGTGATGTCTGCAGAACGCACTGATGATCACAAACATGAGCGGCACCAGAGGAATTGAAATGCTCAGCTAAATGCTCTGACTCGCCAGGACCTGCTCTACTTCCATCCTGCGCAGCAACAAAATCGCTCGAAGACGAATTTTTCTTTTGTGTACCGGGAGAGGGCCTTGCTGTCGAGGTCAAAAGCGTTGTCCGGCAGATCATACTGCCTCTGTACCTCAGCCGGAACAGGAAAGTGTCCTCCGGACCACTGCACCAAAGGAATGGTCCTGTGACCCGACGCCTATGGAGTCGGACGCCGATCTTCTCAAAACTGATCTGATTCGTCGCCATGTCGAAAGAGGCGCCGAGATGCTCCAACAGTCCTACTGACAGGAGGGGCGGCACGTTGCTCTGGATCACGAGGAAGTTGATGACACCTGGGACGCCTCCTGGAGAAATTGGAAGGAGAACGGACCTGACCACTGTGGCTTGACCTCCAATCCCAGTTGGCCATTGGCAGCCGTAGGAACCTCGATGGACTTAAACCCTGCCGACCGGAGGGTCTTGTCCAAGGCCTCCATCGCCGGAATCCCAATAATATCTTGGGTCGCTCCAATGTCCAGGATCGCGTCGCCTGACCGGAAGGTGAGGAAGTTCCACTTCTCGCGGACGGGAGGAGCCAGAGGGCCGGAAGCCCTCTCATCTCTGAGATCGCTAATCTGGCCGGCCATGAACACCCATCCGGAGCCCGAGGCCGGTCCCAGAGAGGGGCCCAAGCCCAGACAGGGGCCCAAGTAGCAGAACAAAGGAGGGCGCTGCGTAGTCACCGTCCCTGAGCCAGGAGAGGTGACAATCCTCTGCCCAATGGCCTTTCTTGTTGCACAGCCTGTATCGTGAGATCTTGGCCCTTCGGTCCTCGCGATGTTCCTTAGCTCCAGGAAGTCCACCGCCAGCTCCTCTAGGACTCTACTAGGATGGTCGCCAGAAACGCCCTTCACGAAGCTGCCGCGGTCCTTCTTCATCTCGGCCTTATAGTTTTTATTCTCCTTCCAGGTCCGTCGCTTCTTGTGGATCCTGGCCCGCACACGAAGACACCCCGGGGAATGCTCAATGCCCTCAGTGGCCACAAAGCCTGTGATGCGCTCCGTCCGGGCATCCATCCGGGACAGAAGCAGGGCCAGGTAGTCGACATCCATCTTGCGGCCCTTGAGAAGGTTGTCAAGTTCTGCTGATTCTTCTGCTCAGTCAGCCCAGCCCCTTCTCTCAACAGAGAAATGCGAAGCTCAGCCGGAAGCTCCAAGCCGAAGCTCGAGGCCTTGGTGAAGTCTCGCAGACGCCTCATCGCAAACGGGGCCAATGTCTCATCACGCCTTCTCGTAGTGTCCGAGAGAACCGACCTGAAGGCTGTCCTCTTCTCTGCATCCTCCTGAACGCCGGCTTTCATTTCCATCACCTGAAGGATGAGGGTCAGATATTGGTCGGACCCCAGCTGTGTCTCCGACAAGTGCTCAAAGTCCGCCTGGAGCTCCCGCCCCAACGTCCTCAACAATTTCTCGGCTCTCCTGAACACCGGGATGTATGTCTGCTTGTCCCAGCGCCGGATGGCCTGGGTCCATTGACGCCGAAAACTCCATCCTGGCCACGACACGAAGTCGCCGGAGTTCTCCATGATGCCTGCCAAGGGTCAGGTGTCGCGGATGTCTGCCAGGGGTCGGGCGTCGAAGTTAAGTCGCCCGTCACGGCTGCAGAGCTCGGGTCGGAGGAAGAGCTCGCTGCGTTGGCCCCTGCACTCGCTGTGCACGCCACGGCTGCTGGTGTTGTAGTCGCCGATCGCCACTCGCATCCCCCGGAGTGGTGCTCGGCCAATCCCCGGACTGGCCTCCCTCAGCCTGGATTGTAGCGTAGGAGAACCTAGAATGACGAGGCCACTGATGAGCCTCTGATCTGTTCCCCCACCAGCCAGACCATTGCCAGTCAGTCTGGTTCCACCAGTTTGCGTCACGTCGCCACCAGTCATCACCGCCATCCGCGGTCGCAGTAGGATTTGTCGCCGGTGGCTGTTCGCTGTTGCCTTCAGCTGTCGTCGTCGGTTGCGGAGTGGGCTCAGGAAGCGCGGCCATCTCGAACGAGGCTCGCGCTACCAACTGTAGACTCAGACGCTAGGGCAACACGCGCACAGACACTCTAGCCTTTTCCATCGCACCGCAAGAGCGCTGGTGATCCTAAGTGGCCTTGAGCCACGAAGACCGCAGAGCCGCCGAGCATCCACTGGATAGCAAGACGTGTGGGCAAACTGTCAGACAAGTCCTAAAGGCATGCTGTTACATAAGCTTTGAAGGTTCACGGGCTCTTGCTATTTGATCCAAAGTCTGTGGACGGCAAAGCCAATCGTGTTCGCTCGGTGCAAGTTGCTGGGCATGATGGCAAAGCGATGCGCGGCACATCTGCCTCTGCCCGTCTCTGCTGCAGCGCCTTCACAGCAGTGTCGATTTCGCGGCCTGGACGACTAAAGAACTTTGCAAAACTACTCACAAGGTTCCAGTATGTTCCAGCTTGTTCGGGCGTTGAGCTTACGTTGGGAACAAGTTGAAATAGAAAAGGTTGCTCGCAACTGCAGTCGGAGCTCAACTGACCTTTTGGTACAGCCATCATCGACACTACTGCCTGTTTCTGCACTCATCTATCTAAGGTCTACATGACACTGCATTGAGCACCGCGGCAAAAACTCAACGTATCTCAGGGCTACCATGCCACTAGATCTCCCTGTGCATCCTGAGCCGCAGTTATAGCTAAATTGTTCCACAGAACCTAAACGAATAGTCGGCTCACGTCCGCGGAACCATACGTGCAAGTGGAGCGCGTGACGAGACTCAAGAAACTGGCTGCTGAAGAGACACAGCATTGTCATCATGGCCGTTTCAACAATACTTTCNNATCGAACCGCCCGCTCCCGTACCGAAGCGAAGCCCCCCCCACCTCACCTCGCTCCCACCTCCCAACCACTGAAACCCCTCCCACCTTCTCTCCTCACTTACCCTTCAGCTTCCCTGTCTCTCCCACCTCCCAGCTCCCACCCATCTCATCACGATGCATTTGTAGGAATACGCCGCATTAATATCCTGCCCATGCCAGCAAGATTTGTGAGTAGTCTACAATCAAGCAGATGAGTGGGAGGACGGGGGAGGTGAGAGCTGGGTAGCACCGAGCCGCACCTCATCGACAGGCACATCCCCGAAGGAAGCCGCAGGAAATGCGTACCGAACCAAACCGTAACGCGAAAGACTCTGCAGTACTGCAAAGCCCTGCACCCCTCGCAAGCATTGACCGCCTGACATGCCAAAGACTCGAAGCAAAGAAAAG